CGCACTGCGCCAATGCCGCAATTCGGTGGAGCTCCCTATGGGGCCACGAAGCGCTGTTCTGGGCGGGGGAGGCGCATGCGAACGGCGCCACTGGGACCTTCGGTGGAGCCTCCATCTGGGGCCACGAAACGCTGTCCTGGGTGGGGGAGACGCAAGCGAATAGTGCCACTTGGGCCTTCGATGGGGCTCCCTGTGGGGCCACGAAGCGCTGTCTTAGGTAGGTCAGACGCATGCGGCCTGTGCCACTGGGGCCTTCGGTGGAGCTCCCTGTGGGGCTTCGAAGCGCTGCCCTGGGTGGATGCGAACGGTGCCACTGATGCTTTCGGGGGGTCTCCTTATGGGGCCACGAAACGCTGTCCTGGTTGGGGGAGACGCAAGCGAATGGTGCCACTGGGACCTTCCGTGGAGCCTGCATCCCGGGCCACGAAGCGCTGTCCTGGGTGGCTGTGACGCATGCGGCCTGTGCCACTGGAGCTTTCGATTGAGCTCCCTATGTGGTCACGGAGCGCTGTCCTGGGTGGCGGTGACGCATGCGGCCTGTGCCACTGGAGCCTTCTGTGGAGCTCCCGGTGGGGCAACGAAGCGCTGTCCTGGGTGGCGTTGACGCATGCGGCCTGTGCCACTGGAGCCTTCGGTGGGGTTCCTTATGGGGCCACGAAGCGCTGTCCTGGGTGGCTGTGACGCATGCGGCCTGTGCCACTGGAGCCTTCGGTGGTGGTCCCGGTGGGGCCACGGAGCGCTGTCCTGGGTGGCGGTGACGCACGCGGCCTGTGCCACTGGAGCCTTCCGTGGGACTCCGGATGGGGCCAAAAACGCTGTCCTGGGTGGCGATGACGCATGCGGCCTGTGCCACTGGAGCCTTCGGTGGAGCTCCCTATGGGGCCACGAAGCGCTGTCCTGGGTGGCGGTGACGCATGCGGCCTGTGCCACTGGAGCCTTCGGTGGAGCTCCCTGTGGGGCCACGAAACGCTGTCCTCGGTGGCGGTGACGCATGCGGCCTTTGCCATGGGAGCCTTCCGTGGAGCCCCCTATGGGGCCACGAAGCGCTTTCCTGGGTGGCGGTGGCGCATGCCTGTGCAACTGGGGCCTTCGGTGGAGCTCCCTATGGGGCCACGAAGCGCTGTCCTGAGTGAGTGAAACGCAGGGAGGTGACGAGGCGGATGGGAGGAGGGAGGATGGGGAGGAGGAGGGTAAGGAAGGAGGCGGGAGGCGGGAACGCGGAGCGCCGTCTCTTCAAAACGAGGACCCGACAGCACAGGATGGTTGGGAAAAATAACCACACGCTCCAAAAGAACCCGATGAGAACTCAACATCGCCCCCAAAACCGCCAGGATGCTTGTACCACGTCTGTGAGTCCGCTAGGAGCGTCCCGGATCGGCGGCACAAACCGAAGGTCACTACAATAAGAAACCCCAACTGCAGCACTGTTTGGGGAATCGCAATTCGACGCAGTTCTGAGCGTATTCAAAGAAACATGCGCTGAAGGGGGTGCGGCACTTTCAGGGCGCCTTCGGGGGAGAAACGTGTAGCTGCGGAGGGAGCAGGGTGGGGGAAATAGAGAGAGAGAGAGAGAGAGAGAGAGAGACAAACAGACAGACAGACAGACAGAGAGTAAGAAAGGGGGGGAGAGAGAGAAAGAGAGCAAGAGAGACAGAGCGAGAGAGAGAGAGAGAGAGAGAGAGAGAGAGAGAGAGAGAGAGAGAGAGCGCACCCCCCGTGGAACGGGGCCCCGTCAAGGACTCGGGGATGCCCCCCCCCCCCCCCCCCCAGTGGTCTAGATGGTGGGGTGGGCGGCGCAGCCGCAGCGCTGGAGACCCTTGGGGTGCAAACCAATAGCCCATGCTTCCGGCGGGGGGCGGCGTGGGGGGATGGGGTGCGGGTGCGCCCGGTGGTTGCATGTTCCACGGGTTGCCCTTCGGAGAGAGGGCGGGCCGAGGGGGGGTCGCCCCTTAGGGGTTCCCCGCCTCGGCCTTGCTGCGGGCGGCCCCAGCCATGCCGAGCCGCCCTCCCTTCCCCTTTCTTGCCCTCCCAGCCTTCTCCCCTCCCTCTCCCCTCGCCTCCGTTTCTCTCCCCCGTGCGACTTGGCGTGGTTGGGGGCTTGTCTCGCACCGCGAGGCTGGGCTTAGGCCGACCGGCTTTGGAGGATTTTTTCATGTGAAAGAGTAGGGAGTACCAAACACATCATATCAATACATCGTCCGCAAACCATGGCTTGATTATTTTTGGGATATGCACCATTTCTGGATACTCCTCCTGTAGAGCGACGTGCCCGACGCAAGGCTGGCCACTTGGGGCCCTTCCCCCGAGCTGCCGCTGGCCGCCTGGTCCGTGGCGGGGGCATGCCTGGGGCCGTTGGCGGGGCGCCCGCGGGGAAGGCGCCCCCTTCCCGCGCGCCTCTGCTGCGGGCAATGTTTTTATCCACATCCAGTGCTTCTTGGAGTTTCGGACTCCCTCCCCAAGAAACAGGAGGCGCACTGGATATGGATGATAATCTGCCTCCAGAGGGCTATTTTTTTATCCATATCCAGTTCGCCTCGGCCTTGCGGCGCCCCTTCCAAGAAAGTCCAAGGCAGGGGGCGGGGCAGGTGGGGCTCGGGAGCGCGGGCGGCTCAGTGAGGCGCGTGGGCGTGCTTGCTCTTCCAGCAAGCCGCGCACCAGGCGCCGCCAGCGTAGGGCGCCCACCTGCGGGGCTTCGGGCGCCAACCCCGCATCTGCGCGGCTCGGTTGAATGTGCGCGTGCCTGCCGCGCTGGCCGACTCCTCCGGGCGGCGGCCCGAGGGGCGCCCGCCCTGCGGGGGCGCGCGCGGGGCGCCCGGGCGCGACGCGCTGCGCGAGGGGCCCCCGCGTGCGAAGGGGGCCTGGCGCGGCCAGGAGGGGCCCGCGCTCCGCCGTGCCCCTGCACGGTTGGGTTCGCTGGAGGTGCGTGTATCCGCATATATATATATATATATATATACACATATATATATACATATATGAAGGCATCTGTATGTGTATATATATACATATATATATGCTTCCACATACATTTATACACACGCACCTGTTTACATACGTACGTAGCACCCCGCAATTGCGGATAAGAGTGAGGGGGCGGGCGCGGGCGACGCGGGCGTCGTCGAGCCGGCGGACCTCGTGGCCCCACCTTCCCTGTCGATGGCGCTCTCCTCCTCCTCCTCCTCCTCCTCTTCTTCGTCCTCGTCCTCGTCCTCATCGTCATCGTCATCCTCCTCCTCCTCCTCCTCCACCTCGTCCTCCTCCTCTTCTTCCTCGTCCTCCCTCTCCCCTTTCGTCCTTTCATCATCGTCCCCCCATTGTCGTCCTCCCCCTCATCGGCCTCCATCATCGTCCTCCCATTGTCGTCCATCATCATCATCATGCTCCCCCTCCTCCCCCTCCTCCCCCTCCTCCCCCTCCTCCCCCTCCTGTTCCTCCTCCTTCTCTTTTCTCCACATTCTCCTTACATCCTCTCTTCTTCCGCGTCCTCCTCGTCCCCTGTTTACTTTTCTGCCTCCCCCTCCTTTCCCAAGATAACTGCAACGAAATCCTTTGTTCTACTTTATGCTCCCCGACTTCTCTGATCAAGGCACCTCGCCAGGGCAAATTTGCTGGACGGGCTCGTGTGGATGCGCGGGCCTTGAAGAGGTCCTTGCAGGCTCAGACGGCATGCAAAAATCCGCCGCCGCGCTTGTGCGGCATTGGTTTGTTCAGTGAACGTGGTTTGGGTCGCGGGTGGGTCGTGGGCTGTCCACCTCCACCTGGAAAGAATTCAAAAGCAGCCGCCGCAGGCGCCAAAAAAATGGTATGTACACTGAACGTGGTTTGGGTCGCGGGTGGGCCGCGGGTTCTCTACTGGGAACGAATGCAAAAGATGCCGGCCGCAGGCGCCGAAAAATGTGGTTTGTACCCTGAACGTGGTCGCGGGTGGGCCGCGGGCTCTCCACTTGAAACGAATGCAAAAGATGCCCGCCGCAGGCGCCGAAAAATGTGGTTTGTACCCTGAACGTGGTTCGGGTCGCGGGTTGGTCGCGAGTTGGTCACGGGGTGGGTCGCGGGCTCTCCACCTGGAAGGAATGCAAAAAAAACCCGCCGCAGGCGCCGAAAAATGTGGTTTGTACCTTGAACGTCGTTTGGGTCGACGGTGGGTCGCGGGTGGGTTGCGGGGTGGGTCGCGGGTGGGTCGCGGGCGGGTCGCGGGTGGGTCGCGGGTGGGTCGCGGGTGGGTCGCGGGGTTGGCCGCGGGCGGGTCGCGGGGTGGGTTGCGGGTTGGGTCGCGGGGTGGGTCGCGGGGTGGGTCGCGGGTTGGGTCGCGGGTGGGTCGCGGGGCGGGTTGCGGGTGGGACGACGACAACAAACAACAACAACAAACAACAACAAACAACAAACAACAACAAACAACAACAAACAACAACAACGAGAATCCGCACCGCCGAATTCCACTTCAGCCACACACCCAGGGACAGTGAATGACCGTTCGGCCCCCTCACTCTGATCTATATACATAAAGATATATATATATATATATGTATATATATATACATATACATATCCATAGAGACACACAGAGAGACATACAGAGACATACGTATGCATATATCGATACATATATCTACGTAGATCTGTATACACACGCACAGAGACAGACACAGAGAGAGAGAGAGAGAGTTTGAGAGAGAGAGAGAGAGATAGCGAGAAAGACAAACATAGATCTGGTTCATACATGTATGTAGAAACATATCGAGTGAAACACATACAGGGAGAGAGGGAGAGAAAGAGAGAGAGAATGAGGGACAGAGAGCGTGAGATAAAGTGCTATAGACTGTTGTATTTATATAACTGTAGATACAGAGGGAGGACTGAACAACAAAAGGGGAGAGGGAGGGAGGAGGCGAAATGGGGGCGGAGGAGGGATGAGGATGGGGAGGGTTCGGGCTTCGACGTCGCCCCGCCGGCCGCTGAGGAGGGGAGACGGACGAGAAGGGTTACAAGGGAGCTGTCACCGCTCACAGCAGCCACCATCTCTCTGTGTCTCCTCCTGTGGTCCTGGCGAGCCTTCGCCTGCGCGGAGGCTGTGCCCTTCAGCGCGACGGCGGCCGAGGGGTGCGTGGACAAGAATGCTGCCACAAACATGGGACTGCTCCTCACCATCGCTGCAGGATGATAACTCCGAAATCTCTTGGAATGCGAAGCTCGATCTCTGATGCTGGGTGGTGTACCGAATCAGATGGTAGCAAAGTAGCTCACATGTGGAAATTTGAACCAGGACGGCTCCTGGCGGCATGGAGAGTGAAAAAGGAAAATGACGGCAGGCACTCGCAGACGACGAGGGAGATAACGTGCCAGAAAGAAAACTGAGGACATATGACAGATTGCACACATGTGTGTGAGGTGTGTGTGGTGTGTGGTGTATGTGGTGTGTGTGTGTGCGAAAGCGTGTGTGTTGTGTGTGTGTTGTGTGTTATGTGTGTTGTCTTGTGTGTTGCGTGTGTTGTGTGTGTATGTGTGTGTGCAGGCGTCTCCCTCATAACCAGCGAGTCGTTGCACCCAGCACATGCATGTGCGATAGCTGGGGTGCAACCTACATCGGGAGCCATCTGTGGGATGCAAAAAACATGCTGGGCGAACTCCGTGCTGCGAGCTGCGTGCGGTGCAAGCTATCCAGCGCAACGTGATTTGTGCAACGGCTGCGTGGTGCAACTTGTGTGTATGTGATGGAGCTGGTGTGAGCATGCTGAAACGCGAGCCACTGCGCGAACGGAACCCCAGACATGCGACGTCCGGATTTTGTTCAGGACGGCGTCCCCGGAAGTCCCGACCCTTTCCCTGGGGCCAGTTTTTCATCCTGCGTCGTTGCGATCACGTGTGGGAACGCAGCTGCGACAAGCGGCCAGCGTGCGACGAAACGGGACACGCGGGCCAGCGGCGACGGGGCGGCGACGAGACGTCGACGGACGGGCCCACCGCCTGAAAACAAAAGGAACCCCATAGCCAGCGGACGAGGCGGCAGGACCGAATGGCCAGCACATCGACCCTGGAGAAACCGGATCGCATCGGCAGGCGCGTGGAACAAGAGGCCGCGCTGGTTTGTCGACTTCAAGAAACCAGTTTTCGAATTCAAAATGCTAGTTTTGTTTTGAATGTAAAAGCTGCGCTGGCACGGGATCGTCATCGGACCCGACCAGCCGCACGAGGATGCACCACGACTCCATGCAGAACTCGAGCCGCATCCCCGGAGATCCGCCGTTGCCACTAAGAACATGCAACATCGTGAAACAAATGCGCCACGCCTGGAGCCCCAGACCGCAGCGTTTTGCGTCCTCTTTCGAGCCGCATCGATCTGGGAGGGTGCTGGGGCCCGAAACTGAGCGACAACGCCGGTGGTGAAACAGTATGGCAGCGCCAGGATCAGAGGGTCTGATGGGCCTGTTTTCTACCACCGCCACCAGAAGTTGGAGGGGGAGGGGGACCTCCTCCTCCTCCTCCTCCTCCTCCTCCTCCTCCTCCTCCTCCTCCTCTTCGTACTGCTTGGAGGGTGAGGGGGACTCCTCTATACACTCGCCATCGCCCGGACGTCCATTCCCTGTGCATTTTTCGATTTCGTGCGTGTATTTTTTCGTAAGGTGACCCACAATGCTCTTCGATGGTCCTCGCCCCACAAAAATGCACAAGTCCGAGCGATGCCAAGTAAATATCTATCTATCGATCTGTATATATATATATATGTGTATGTAATACATGTATGTAAATTCACACACACACACACATACATATATATATATATATATATATATATATATATATATATATATATCCAGTGCGCTTCTGATCGCTTCCGCTCGACTTTTCCCGATGCCTTGGGGGCTTGCTTTGGGAGCCCGTGCTGCCCACCGCCCACGCGACCTATGCGACGGCCGACTGCCCGACGGGGGCCCGCCCTGCGCCTCTCCTGGGGAGGCCGCCCGTGTGCCGTCCTGGCTGCCCCTCCGGAGGCCCCAAGGGGCTGGCCCAGGAGGCCAACACTACTTTAGTAGTGGAGACAATTGGTCTTCAAAATGCTTGGTCTTTAGAAGCTCTGCGTGGCGACGCCCCCGTCGCCACGCGCGCCCTCTGCGTGCCTGCGGGGGCGCCGCCGCGTGGAAGTACTGGAGACCGAGCACTTGGGGCGTCGCTACGCACGCCGTCTGCGTGGCTGCGACTATTTGTTAAAACCCTAAAACAAATTAAATTCACTACTGAAATACTGGAGAGCATGCATTTCGAGCACCGTCGGGGCGTTGGCCTAAGCAACTCTAGATAAGGAACGAGGCCCCCTTCTTCCATAACTCAGACTTCGATTCCCGCTCGAAGACCTGGGGCCAACCGAGGGCAAACGGCAGAATGACTCAGGAAAGCTGAACCCCTCCCAGGAGAGAACGGCTCCTTCTTCAGCGCCCCGACTGTACACGTCGTTCATCTCGAATCGTGCTCATTTTTTGCCGTGGCAATGCTCCGCGGCGCAACGGCTGCACGCGAGCTGTGACGGCGGGCGGCCGCGAGGCCACCCCGTAAAAGGCGCGGACCTCACCGTCTGTGAGCCGCACTGCCGCTTCGGCAACTCGCACACCCGCCTGCGCGGGGTGCCATCCACCTAGCAGCTTCGTCTTCGCGCTGGTGACCTGCTTCGGCGCCGTCTGACCTCGGCATCGGTCACCCAACGAACGAAAAACACGCCCTGACCAGCGCACTCCGCATCGGCCACAAAATGTATACGGCCCCGCTCTGTACAGCTGGTGCCCCTGCGCAGGATCAAGAATCCTGTTGGCCACGCTTCCACTAGCTCGGGCTGGTCCCGTGCTCGTGCTAGGCCCCTCTGGAAGTGGAGGAGGAGCAACTGCAGGGGCAGGCGCAGCATGCTCGGGCGGCTGGGGGCTAGGCATCAAGGCGCCTCTGCCACGGCTGCGACTCCTATGCACCTGCGCGCCTACTCCACAACCACGCCCAGAGCCACCCTCATACGTCACTCGCTGCCACACTCCAGGGCACCGCGGTCGCAAGTACTGCGCCGCGTGGGCCCCCAGCACCTTGGAGCGCGCACCGCAGTCCAAGCATCTGCGCCACTGGCCCTCCGTGACGATGTTGCGCCTCCTGTTCGTCGGGTCCCGCGGCCGTCCTCGCGCCGCAGGGCCATCAGGCGCACTCGGCCCTGCGGCTGCACTGCCACGTTCGGAGTCCTCGATGGGGTCGTCCTCCTCCGTCTCGTCGTCGGCAGGCGCGGCTGCTGCCGTTGGCTGGGTTGCCGCCCTCGCAGCCCCCCCTGCTGCGGCAGCCACCTCCTCAGGCGATGCGCCTGCTGCCGCTGCCGCCGCCGCCGCCACAGCTGCCGCTGCCGTAGCCGCGGCATTCCCTGCCGATGTCATGGCAGGCCTCGTCTCCTCAGCCTCGGGCTGCCGCCCTCGCAGCTGGGCCTCTCGTCGGCGCTGCGCCCGCGCCTCCTCTTTGGTGGGCAGCGCGGCGTCCCCGAAGTCACCGACCTCCACTGCCATGTCTGCCACGTAGTCCAGCACCTGCTGCACCGTCTTCCAGCGGCCCTGCCATACGTCGATCTGCCACTGGGGCGGCATGGCCAGCTGCGCTCCTCTGACCGCCAACTCATCGGCGAACTTGTTACCGTGCACGTGGAACGCGTTCTGCCCTCTGCCATGCGACCGCACGTGCACCACCGTGAGGCCGTCCATGTTCGGGAAGGTCTCGTCGACGACATTCCAGATGCGCATCCAGATGTCGCAGTTGCTCCTCTGCGGCGCCGTGCACCACAGTCGGCCCCTTCTCATGCCTCTCACAGCCATCTCGTAATCAGTGACCAGCGTGGTAGGTGCCGTCGCCCTCCTCAGGGCATGCCAGATGGCCTGGAGCTCGGCCCGCCCAACCGATAGGTCAGCTCGTACTCCTGGCAAGCTTCCGTATGCTCCACCAAGCGCCGTATACTGTCCTTCATCAGGCTCCTCGAACCACATGTAGCCCCAGCCGTAGCCCTTGAGCGTGTTGGCGCCTTTGCCCGAGCCGCCGGTGAAACAGACCCCCGAGATGAACGGAATGACGTCGTCCTCGTCGATGTCGTCGCCCTCTGCGTTGACCGGGTGGCACTGCTCGTTCTGGGTGTCACCCTCGACGTCATGAATGGGGTGCGCCACCAGGCCGCAGTTGAGCAGCAAGCTCTCGCCTGTGCCCGCCATGCGCTGCACAATGCCCGCATGCTTGTCGGCGAGCTTGGCCCTGCTCTCCTCATGGGCCTCACAGCGCCCGAAGCGGTGCCTCTGCGTGCCCTGCGCACGCCTGCGTTGCTGGCACATGCCATCGGCCACTGTGCCGCGCTGCTGGAGCTTAGCCTGTGTGCAGTAGTCCTGCCCCACGAGGCCTTGATGGCACCTTGATGCGCTGCCCACCTGCGCTTCCTTCGCAGCGCCCTCACTGGTTCCAAGAACGGCATCGGGACCTCCCCTGCGCCCTTCTCAGCGGCCCACTTTGTGAGGACCTGCCGCTCGAGGGCCCTATCCAGCTTGTGCCTAATCGTCTTCGGCGCCACCGTGTGCACTGGCACCTGGATTCCTGCTGGCGTGAGCAGCGTCCACGGGGCAGGCCATGGCCAGCCGAGGTCGCGCAGGGTCCTCAGGACTGCCTCAGCTGGCCCTCTGACTGCCGACCATGCCATTTTGCCTGCCGTGGCCAGCCGCGCAGACGCCTTCCTCCATGCCGCGACAATAGCCTCCTCGTCCATGGCCCTGCTCCATACCACCTCAGCCCACTTCACCACTGGCCGTATGGTAAGACTCACCGCTGGGTCGGCCTCCTCGGGCCATAGGCGCAGGGTGCGGTCCTTGCCCATGGCCTCGCCGCTCAGCGCCATCGACATGTTGATGCGAGCCCTTTCGATGAGCTTCGGCGGCGCTCCGATGCAGGCCACCCCGTATCGTATGGCCGGCAGGAAACCCTGCTTCCTCGGCTGTGCCAAGGCTGGCGCCCTGCTTCTTCAGGCTGTTCAGCTTAGTACCTCTCGCGACCATGACCTCTACGCGCTCCTGCTGCTTGGGCCGCCGCTGCGCGCCCACACCCCCTGTGAAGTCCACGCCCAGCTGTGCGCCCTCTTCTTGTATCTCCAGGCCCCAGTCCTTTGCCCCGAGCTTGAACTTGGCCTTGGCCTGCTTGTCTGCCGTGTAGACATAGCTTTTGCCTTTCTTGGTGGCTCCGTTCTTGTGTGTGGTGAGCGACAGCGGTAAGCCTTCTGCCTCAGCTGCCT